CGAAAAGTTGGTAATATTTTGGTTGTTGCAACAAGAATGAGGCAGCAAATAAGAACAAAAACTTCATAAACTTTTTTAGGATTAATTCTCGGTGACAATATCCACTCATGTTGTAGAAAAATTGAGGAATGTTTAATAGAATATTGATAGATGGAGTTGGTTCACAAGCTTTTGTTGAAAAGGTATTTTTAATAGTAATTTAGTTGACTTTGTTGTGTAACAACCCTTGGATATTAGGTCATGTGACTAACACTTATTTTGTTATTAACTGCTCTCCTATATGTATAAATAGGGGAGTACTTCGTTATTTTCAATCGTCCTTAGCTTATAAAGCTTATAAGTAGTTTAGTTATTGTCCCTTTTTAAGTTGTAAATCAAGGTAGTTTGAGTACTCTCCTTGCACGATGCTACAAATGTTTTACATTCTCATAACACTTTACTTTTTGTGCAATTACATTATTCAGCTTTGTATTTATGTCTTGTATTACATCATGAGCTAAATACCTTAGCTTGAATGTGAAAGAAGGTTGGAAGAATAGGCTAATGTGCTAGTCAGTAATTGGTTTCACAATAGCTATGACCTGGTCTCCAAAATCACCTCAAAGAAATGAGCAATGCCCCAAGATCATTAATATTAAGTCACAGTAGTAAACACATCAAGTCTAACCATAACATTGTTGAAGAAATTCTACACAAATAACCTTATACGAGTACAAGAAACTAATTCCAACTAACTAGCTGACTGGCTTTTACGCAACCTTCTATCCCGAGGCCACATCTTGCCCTTGTATACCAACTCTGAAAGGTTGATTTTGAAAATGTAGGTCAGACCAAAAAGTCTAGTAAATTTCTAGCAAACAATGTTAGGATAAACACCAGTTTCATCATACATCAAGATACCCATAAAAGACCTAAGATGAAGGCAGCCTTGTGATAACCGGATCCTGGTTATCACATGAGGTAATCAATATGTGATTATTATTTGTTAAATGTTTACGTGACAGCATGATAAATTGTTATATTTGATCGTGCTAGTATGTGAAGTTATATGCATAACTGAGTATGTATCAAATGTGTGGGTATAATTACATACACAATAAAATACATACATGCATAAGTGTATATGTATATGTGAAAGTAATGCATGTGGGTGAAGGCTATTATAGCCGACTTTCCTGTTAATGAAAGGTATAAAAGGAAGGTCCTAACCTCCATTCCTTCTTGCTTGCTATTTGTGTTACCTGGGTGAACAATATAAACTGAAAAGGATTGATCGGATTGCATTTCTTTCACCAAGATTCAGTTAGTTTCAAAAAGGAAATTCAAGGTGAGTGGTTAAATGCTTTCAAATTACTTTAAATTGTATGTTTAATTGAGCTTTGAAAAGATTACTTGATAAATGATAATTTCGACCAGATTATGTTAAACCGGATGGGTATTAAGCGATTTCAAGTTAAACCGGATAAAGGGTAAGCGGTTTAAAGTTTAATAGGCCAAGGCATGAGCGGTTTAGAATTAAACCGCCTAAGCACTAATCGATACGGACTTAAACCGGACAAAAAGAGTTGGGCGGTTTACTCATAAATTGGACACTTGTTGGCCGGTTTAGTCTAAATCGCACATAGTGTGTACGATGTAGGAAGTTAGTGAGATTTAAACTTTATAAATCGCTTGATTACATTGATCGGAGAAGTATGAATACGATTAAAGGTAACCGGTTTATTTTAAATCGGACGATTATGCATAATGTTGTCTGGATTAGTAATCCGGACAAAAGTGTTGGAAATTTATTCTAAGTGTTAAATCGGACATAGTGAAGTGTTGTCCGGATTTGTTATCCGGACAAGATTTGACCGGATTATGAATGGACATATCATTTTGATTCTTTAAACAAAGAAATGGGAATTTTAAAAATGATTTTGGAACTGATGTTATTCCATTGACTGCGGTATATTCAATATGAAATTGTTTTTTGTGAAATGTTTTGATGGAGAAATAAGGGTGACATATCAAGGAGAGGTATACCATGGGATAAAGGTGGCATATCAAGGAGAGGTGTACATTTGGATATAAGGGTGACATTTGTATGTGTACTGTGTAATATAACTCTTACTATTATATCCCTTAAGATTATCGTGGTTTGGAATCTTTATTTCTTTGTGATTTAAAGGTTTAGGATCAGGGTTCTTATTGGAAATCATAGTTTGGATGTTATTAAGGAGGAGATAACAGATTTGGCCTAAAACTTTGAATAAACCTTATTTGTTTTTGAGAGGTTTAAAAGTGGCATTGTGATAATTTGGTTAGTGTAAACCTGTTTGGATTTGATGTATCGTTTGCAAGCAAAGAATTTGGCTTGAAAAGTGAAAGGTATTGGTATTATGTTCTTATTTGTTCATATATTTGTAATATATGTGAAAAGTTGTTTTACTTAAAAGTTTTGGTGATTTTCACCATGCAATAACATAAATAGGGTACCTCAATAGACTTTTTGGTCTAACCCTCGTTTTATGATTTTAAACATGTATTGCAAAAAGTGCAGAAGGTAAGGGAAAAGTGAAAATGTTATAATTTCCCTATATGTTTATCTGCGTGAAGAATGGCTAATGATATGTATAGTTTTGATAGATGAAACTGGATTAGTGCAAGAATTGTATTTTGAATTTTTGAACCATGTATTTTGTACTGGTAGATTCTTGTACTAAGAAACCAATGTGGTGTACAAACATGTATTTCTTGTATATGAAGTATATGTTAAATGAAACGTGTGGAATGGGGTGTTACAAGCCTCTACCTGGACTATATTTCATCTTGACAATGAATGCTCACATACTTAAAATGAATGCAGACTCTGCTTGTATTGCATCCCAGCTTAAGCATAGACAACACCTGACACTTAAAATGAAGGCAGTTTCTACTTGGACTACATTCCATCTTAAGCTCACACTAGACCCAATAATCCATTACTCAAAATGAATGTACCACTCCTAGACTTCATAGACATACAAGCATCAATGTAAAACATTAAACACGTATAGTTATCATGCACTCATTTTCCAATATCGTCAATTGAACATTTTCATAAAGATTCCAATATCGTCAATTGCACTCATTTTCGGCCTCGGTCCCCAGCTGATACAGGGATTAATATCTCGTCCCCGGTTTATTTTCTGGTCAAATCCCGATCTTCGTCCCCGGTCAAGACCTAATTTTAGAAAATAATATATAGATACAGGCTCATTCCTAACATTTTACAGCTGCTAGACGAGGTATAGTTAACAATGTTCAAAGTATTTGAATTTCTATCGATATCTTTTTGATAGTATACAGGCCCATTCCTAACATTTTATAGGCTCTGGACGAACGTAAAAACAGGGCCCACCGTAAAAAACATGGATTTTAGCAACGACTTTTATCGTCGTTAAAAATCCATTTATCATTAGAAAGAGTATATAACAACATGTCGCCGCTATAACTTGTGACAGAAACATGTCATCGTCAAAAGACTCATCATCAAAGCTCATTTTTCTTGTAGTGACCCTTGGTAAGTACGAAAAAGAATTCAATAAATGTTTTTCATTAGTACAAAATTGAGTACAAGAAATGTTAATAATTTACTGAGTAAAGAAATCTTATTTATCTTTATTATAGATATATAAGAGAGTACTTAACTTTACGTACTTCTTATCAGGTAAAACCAAGAATATAGAAACTATGGTTGATAAATTTTTATAAAAAGTAAGAATTTTTTAGTTCATAACAAGAAATATGTGTTATTTTGATACAAAAAGAAAACTTGTGTGAATGAAGTAATCGTGAGGGTCAATGAGAGATCAATAATAAAGAAGACTATCAAGGTTTTCTAGACAAGTAGACAAATAAGGATCAATAAAAATATAAAATAAAAGTTGATCCATTGAGATCCATTAAGAATAAATAATGAATTAAACATATAATATGCAAGTTGAACAAATGATTATTTGAGCACTTAAATAAAATCTTATAGTGTGGTGAAATCCCAATGAAAGATATATATAAGTCAAACAATTGATGAAAATATTTAAATTCTATTTTCTTTCTTTTTTTGTTCAACTAAAATTAGATGTTAAGATTAAAAGTTTATGAAACATGACATATATAAGAGAGATTACTAAATACATTTAGTAGAAAAAATTTATTGATTAATCATAAAATCATGAAACACGTCATAAATTATAAAAACAGTAGATTGATGGTCAAATAATAGTAAAATATTTTATGTAAAAGCAACAATAGATAACAATAATCAACAAAAACAATTAGAACAATATAACCAAATAGCAATAGTCAATAGAAACAGAAATTGATAAAAATATTCAACAAAAATATATAGCAATAGCAAACACATGATCTTAACGTTGAATTGTTGAAGCACAAAAACATTAAAACATAAAAAGATAGCAATAACCAATATCATTGAACCTTGTTGGAGATAAAAAAAAATTAGAGAGATAATAAACAATAACATATAATGAATGACCAATTAATTTTTTTTATTTTCTTCTCCAATGTAATTAGTTGATATATTTTTTGGTCCTTATTATCCACTAAATTTTTTACCTCTTATTATATGTTATAATTTTTTGGATTTCTTTAATTTATTAAATTTTTTTATACTACTATTGTATTTTAAAAGAAAATTTTGGGTCCTGGGCATGCGCCGTCCTCCGTCCTGATAGTATAACAAAACCATCTCATTTTATTGCTCTATAATCCCGTATGAAATACAACAATGTAGAAATCTTGCATTCCGTCCGTTACCGGGGTACGCATACTAGTTTTATATAAGGATACGGGAGCATAAATTTAGTCAAGGATGGACAACTAAACCACAACCCGACCCGGATACCCAGATGATCGTTGGGCACATTTTAAAGTCGCTATATATATAGAGTTCAAACAGCACATCACCTCATCGATGCATGACCGCCTTACCCCCATCAATTAATCCCCCTCTCTCTCTCTCTCTCTCTCTCTCTCTCTCTGCATATATTTCTGTGGCGGAGACTTTTCGTCGAGGACAAAGGCGAATCTATCAATGGTTTTCAACTCATGAATTAATACCAAGTACAAGGTATCTGACAATTCTGCTTCTATTTTCTTTGATTAATCATGCAAAAATATGAATTCATGGTTATGTGTATTTGTCTTGTAAAGAAATCATAATTCGGATTAGGAAAAAAGGGAAAACCTACCAAAGGAATCACCCTTGAAGTGAATGATTGTTGATGTAGTTAGTGTGTTCTTATTTCTTGAAATAATTTGATCAAACCCAAAATAAGTTTCTGATTGATGGACGAGAATGTGTGTTGTTTTATGTCAATTCATGGTTTGATGATAGTTTCAATTTGAATTAATGAATCAGAGGGTGGTAGAGAAAAGGGTGGAGAGTTTCTCTTCGCTGATCTCTCTCAATCTAGGGTTTATCAACATCAACAGGAGGGATTTGGTTCCAGGGTTTATTGATACTACCTGGTGAAAATCAGTGGGATCTTCTATTTGATTTCATGCAATTGTCACAAACTCGAAGGAGTTCGGGTTGATTAGGAAAGCATGGGAGAAGCTGATTACCATCTCAGAGGCGATTTATCAGACAGCATCTCTGCGTTGGCCGTAAGTGAGAGGCACATTGGTTCTGACAATCAAGTCAACAGAAAACCAATGGAAGAGGATGATCTTCAACAGATTGAAGAACAAGAACGAGAAATTATCCAGTTAAGGAAACAATTGGCTGAATATACTGTCAAAGAAGCACAGATTCAAAACGAGAAGCAAGTTCTTGAAAAACGCATCACATCAATGTACAATGCTTTTGATCAACAACAACAAGATCTTTTTGCAGCGACCTCAAAAGCCATATCCTACAGACAGGACATAGTCGAAGAGAATATACACCTTAGATACGCACTACAGGTAGCTCAAGATGAAAGGTCAATATTTATATCGTCTTTAGTGCCTCTTCTTTCAGACCTCTCTCTTCACCCTGCAGCTCTTGATGCATACTCCATTGTTAGTAGTCTAAGGATTCTCTTCAAGCATACTAAAGAAAGACTCACTATGGCTGAAGAAAAGCTACGGGAATCTCAATATCAACCTCTACTTTTACATTCTCACAGGGAAGATTCGCCATTAGATTCTTCACCTCCAACTTGGCCCCACTCAAGCTTTGAGCCATCTCCAGAAACAGTTCATATGGGTGTAGAGAGACGAAACAATGGAGAAGGTGTGGTCAATTCTCCTTATTTGCCATCAATTTTTGAAGAAGAACCTTCGTCCTCACACCTTGAAGCAGATGATTCAGAAGAAGATGATAATGGCAGTGGTGACTATGATGATGAAGATACTAATAAGCCACTTCCCACAATAGAGGGTTTGCAGATTTTAGGGGAAGCTTTTCCGGGTCATGAAATTCAAGCAAGTGGGTACTCAAGAAATGGAACCACCCACTGTGGTTTTGAGTGGGTTCGCCATTTGGAAGATGGATCAGTCCACTATATAGGCGCAAGACAACCCACTTACACCGTTACAGCAGATGATGTGGAAACATATCTTGCTGTGGAAGTCCAGCCGCTTGATGACAGACAGAGGAAGGGCGAACTTGTAAAACGCTTTGCGAATGACAACAGGAAGATCACTTGTCATCCTGATATGATTCGTGAAATCGAGAAAATCTTGAGCATAGGCCATGCAATTTTTAAGCTTTTTGTTTGGAAAGGATCTCTTGACACTTGGGAAGCAGCTGCTTTGGAGATCAAGAAGAGTAGTTACAGCATCAAGATTAATGGACCCAACAGCAGTGTTGTAGTTGATGAGAAATATGCACCAACCACAGTTATTAGTCTACCAGCAGAAATACCATCAGAGTTCTCGATACTTAGTCCTGGGGGCGATGAGCAATATTTACGTGCAGATTATAGTTCTAGTGATGTCAGCTGCTCAAGAGATACAATTGTGCTGACGATGAGATTGTTTATCAAACGGGCTGTGGATAAGAAGCTCGGGAAGAAGAAGAGGAGGGTTTTGTTCTTCAAGTAAGTCTTCTATTGTAGAGGTTCTTGTAGCATTCGTACACAATTCTTTTAGACATACATTTGTAAACTGAAGTTAGCTTTTTGAATTGATTCATGTTAACCATGAATCTTTTGTAAATAACAGAAATATCTGTTGATCCATAAAAAATTGAACAAAACCCAGCTTCTTTATGAGATTCTTTTCAGGCATACTATTTGGTAGCACACCTGCAACCACACAAGGCACAGTAAGGGATTACTATATGTTGGTACCCTGAACTACCAAGCTGTATAACATCTTCATATACTTTTAGGGAAGTAGTGCTTGGTTGGGGTTAATAGGAGTTGGGAAATGGAAATCATTAATTTGTTTCTGGTATGATGCAGTAGGATGAAGGATTACCAGATATTGGGTAATGAAGCATCACCATATACTCGCCCCTGTTTCCGTTCCCAGCATTCTCATTCTCATTCTCATTCCCGTTTTCATTCCTTGAAATGAACCAGGGGGCTCTTAATGTCATGAAACTTGCTTAAAATGCATAAAGATTCTAATTAGTTACAATACCCGACTTCATTTTTAAATTATTTAGTGTCTACATATCCTTCATATGATGTCGACATTGATATTCTTGGTGGTAGATTTTATACAGTTGGTAAGAGATCGAAGTAGCAACGTGGCATATTGAGCCGACCTATGTGGTGAGGGTAAATTAGAATGGGCAATCCCAGATGATATTGCAATAGGAAACTAGGAAAACTGAAGGGTCTAAAACTATTTATAATGTGTTGATATATCCAAAATCATAAACTATGTTTAGCTACTTCTTCAGAGGAAAAAGGATAAGTGTAGGTCTGTTCTGTGTTGTTGTATTCTGTTGGAACTTGGAAGTCCTTCATGCTTTAGAAGGCTAATATCTACACACTAGCAGCATTCAAGATGTTTGACCAAATCTGGAAAACTTGGATTGTATAATTCAGGTGTGCATTCAAGTTAGTACAGTCAGGGAGCACATGGCTGGTACTTTATTTTTTTTGGGGACCCAATCCGTTAGAAAAAGCATATCAAAGGGACCAGTTTCGTTACTTTTTCACTTTAGGGACCCAATTCATTAAAATTGATAAACCGTAGGGACAATACATGTAATATAAGGGGGGTTTTGGTTCGTAAAATGATTCTAGAAGAAATGGAATCTAGAAGGAATTTGAATGAAATGTTATCAGATTTGATCAAGTGTTTGGTTGGCAGAAATGGATTGTAATCTGTATAATCAAAATTGGAATTTGCCTATTTTATTTGCAACAGAATTGGAATGAAATGATGAAAAAAAGACAAAAAATCCTTTCTTTGAAGCAGTAAATCATATACAAAAATATGTCAAATTAGTAATATGAAGCATTAATATGACGTAGAAACAGTAACAAAATTGAAGCAGAAATTGGAATAGATATCGTAAGCAGAAATCGAAGTATAAAGTGTAAGCAAGAATTGTAAGCAGAAACCGGGAGCAGAAATCGGAAGCAGATATCAAAGTATAAATCGTAAGTAGAAATCAAAACAGAAACTGTAAGCAAAAATGGAAGCAAAAATAGTAAGCCGAAATATAAAGTCATAACAGAAATCGAAGCAAAAATCGAAACAGTAACAAAATCGAAGCAGAAAACAGAAATTGTACGTTGGAGATAACAGAAATCGAAGCATAAATCGTACCTGCAATCTTTGATCGATGAAGAAGATGAAACAGTCGTTCAAAATGAGAGAAACCGGTGGTTCGATAAATTGGAAGCAGTAGATGAGAATGGAAAAGGTGTAATTAGGGTATTTTTGCATTTATAAAATTTTGGATGAAATGGATTTCAATTACATATCTTATATGAAGGAATGGTGAAATCTTTAAATGAGGGAATGTTTTGGAATTCAATTCCATTCCATGGGTAACCAAACATTAGAATGGAATTGACTATTCCAATTTCATCAGATTTCGACGGATTCTAACGAATCAAACGCTCCCTTATAATCTTCAGAACCTTTAGATCTCATATAAGCCAATCATATAAGATAATTGGTTTTATTTTTTCAATTAATAATGAAATGATGAATTAGTAGTTTGATATTTTAGATAACAACTCAACAAAGAATTGATAATATCCTAATTCGGTTACAATTTTCTCCAATATTTCATGTTTATCTCATTAATTTCCAAATTATTCTCATATCTTTGTTTGATCTAGAGAATTGGTGGGAGAGTTCATTCGATATTTGCACCAATATTGACACCGTTGTCGTTGAACGTTAGACAGGAACATGAAGAAGACCTGCAATGCGGTCCGAAGTGGGTTTTTCAACGAAAATTTAACGCAAACAAATCTAACATTGTGAACACTACGAAAATTTGATGATAAGCATCTGCAAGTGAATATATCGACTCCTCTTAATTTTACAAGTATATCATGCAAGAACACCATCATTTTTATGGTAACATTATCTATGGGCTTATTCAAATGAGAATCCAAAAATTTGTGAGATCCATGATAATTACCCTTTTAGCCATTCATTTAAGATAATTATTTTATTTATCAAATTATATAAAGTGGGATAAAAAAATAAAACTCATAAAAGAATTTTATTCACATGGTCCATAAATAGAAAATCAATAACTTTCCTACAACAACATTAATCAAAATATTGGATAATGATTCACATCATGTAATAAAAATATATGATTATAATCTTTAATTGAAACAATATATTTTAGAGTGGTTTACATCATGTTTTTTCACAAGTGTCCCATGGAAAGGATGTAAAGTACCTATAATAACCCTATGGACTTTTTTTGTCAAAATTACCACAATTAAAAATCATTAATTTAACCATTGATGTAAATTAGTTTGTGGTTTAGAATTGATCTCACCGATCTTATAAAATACTTGATTCTCCCTTGAATTCTCTCTCTCTCTATATATATATACTGAGAGAGAGACGAAAAATCGTGTGAGAATGAGAGTTAAAGTGAGAAGCGAAAAAAGAGATACATACCCTTTATCATCTTTAATCTCAAACCCACCCATGAATCGTATTTGATATCGGGATTGATCCGATGCATCCCATCCTAATGTGTATCCAAGGATGGAGATCCCTTATTACGTTCTCACTTTAACTCTCCTTACAAGAACCCAACCATATATATATATATATATATATATATATATATATATATATAGGCCTAATCAAATGAGAACTAATTAGTTTGTGGTAACCGTGAGGTCCAATCTCAACCACAAATCAATAAATAAATTAGGAAATTTATAATTTTGGTAATTTTGAATTAAAATTTTAATGCAAGGACATTTTTGGTATTTTAAAACTCTCCTCTCTCATCTCTTCTCTCTCCGGCCACCGTCCTCTGGTGATACCATAATGGTATCACAATGCATCATATATGTGCTTGGGTATCACATTGAGGTCGTTTGTGTGGTCGATTGGAGATGTAACACAGTGGTATCACAATGTATTTTATATATGTTTGGGTATCACATTGTATCTTTTGTTTAACATAGTCAATATTTTTAGGTATCACAGTGATCACCGGAGGACGGTGGCCGGAGGACGGAGAGAGAAGAGAGGAGAGAGGAGAGAAAATACCTAAAATGTCCTTGCATTAAAATTTTAATTCAAAATTACCAAAATTATAAATTTCCTAATTTATCTATTGATTTGTGGTTGAGATTGGATCTCACAGTTACCACAAACTAGTCAGTTCTTCCTTGAATGAACCCCTATATATATATATAGGGGCTGGTTCAAATGTTAACCAAGTTTATTGTGTTAACTTTGTTAACTAATCTTAGTCATTGATCTTTGAAATTTGTGGTTAAGATCATTCATGACATAAAGTGTAATTAATTGCACACATAGACAATGTAACATAAGTGAACAATATTTACAAAGGTATTTTGGGAAAAGAGTTTAGTTGTCCATTAATGACAATGAGATGTTTTGTAACCGCCCATTAATGAGAATGAGATGTTTTGTAACTGCCCATTAATAACAATGTAACTATCTGATAATTAATCTCGTCATCGAATCAAAACCAACAGTAAGATCCCTGACACCAGATTCTTCTACAGTTTTTCTTGTTAATGGTTCATATGTGAACAAGTATTCGATATTTATGGGAATTGTTCATGTGTAAACAGGGGTGTATATGGAAAAAGGTCGTAAACGACACAAGTGTGCATATATGTCAATCTGTGTTTGTATTTGACACAAGGGTTCATAGTCAATTTGTGTTCGTAAATGATACAAAGGTTCATATAGTCGAGTTGTGTGCATATGGTTGTATGAATGTTCATATATGTGAATTTGTGTTCATATGGTCACACATGTTYATCATCTTTCGTATGTTCATTTGTGTCAATATGTGTTCATATCTATACCAACTATACATATATGTCAATCTGTGTCAATTGACACAAGGGTTCATGTATGTCAATTTGTTTTCGTAATTGACACAAGGTTCATATATGTCAATTTGTGTTCGTAATTGACACAAGGCTTCATATATGTCTAGTTGTGTTCATATGGTTGTACGAATGTTCTCATATGTGAATTTGTGTTCATACGGTCACACATGTTCATCATCTTTCGTATATGTCAATTTGAACGATACCGAAAACTTTACTACCGGGTCTCTTGCATCAATCACAAATTCATAAACATTAGAGATAGAAAATCAATATTAAAAAAATAATAAGATTAATAGTAAGTTAACACAAATCATGAGATTTTATGATTTTGTAACTCCCAATTAATGATATAAGAGTTACATAAAAAAGAAAATTACATATGTACCCTTGTCATTATATTCTAAGATGGATAGGAACCTAATACTAAGATGGATTGTAAATGGTTGAAAATGGTTAACAAAGTTAACACAATAGTTTGGGTTAACATTTGAACCGAACTCTCTCTCTCTCTCTCTCTCTCTTTATATATATATATATATATATACACACACACAGAGAGATATATATAGATATAGATATAGATATAGATATATAGGATGGTAATCAAATGAAAACCACATTGAGGCTTCAGATGTGAAAATTTCGTGTTATACATATTAAGTATTCAAATTTTGAACTTGTTAAACTTAACATATGTTGTGTCCATGCATGAATCCATGACATGTTGTTGTTGATGCTTGATTTATTCCATATTAAGGCATCAAATGTGAAAATTTAATGT